TTTGTTGTTCAAATAAAAAGTGTTTAAAAAATGGTTTTGTCATTAACAACACTATTATTGTATTAATAAAGGGTTGTTAATGAAGGTATAGTGCTATTGTCATAAATATTGTTTGTTCAGCGCCATCCGAGAAAGAATTAAATTCCTTATTCTGGTGTATTTTGTAGACCCTCAGACAAAAGTGTATGTGAAAAATTAATATCTACAACAGCATGTAGAAGTATTTGGCACAGAATTCTTTGTCATTTACGTATATTCTGTTGATGGCAGCTAAACCTTCGCCCAAAACTTGACCTTTTGATTTTGAACAGGTCAGGTAAGTTCATAGTTTGCAGAGAGAAGCGCACAGCCAGACAGGGTCAATAGAGGATGTCAGTCGTATTTTCATGGTGAGGGTTGTAAAGGGTGACGCCTGCTTCTCTCCTCTTATGGTCTACTGCTTATTTTTATATGGCTGCACTAAAACAGGCGTGCTGCTTTTGTCCCTTTGTTCTCATGCTGCACTGTTTTGGAGGTGGCTGGTCTCCCCGTCCGAATGCATCATTCAACACACACCTCACTGAAGTCACTTGTTCAGCTGTACAATGTACACATGAGAAAATTAACCAGATATACATGTTTTATGCATTTCATATCTGACAGACAAGATTGGGAATTTAAGTTTAGAAGGACCTCTGGTAGTTTTGCTCTAGGCATTATACTGAATTTTGTGCTTGGGTTTCAATTAAGATTTGAAATTCGCTTTCATTCCTTTTGGGGTCATTTAAAATGTTATATACTCTTGCATTACCTGACTGCATCTTGTAAAAATGTGCGCTTTAACACACAGACTGCCACATGTCTACTCATTTGTTCTTAGGCTAAATACAGAGTGGCTTATGTGAGTGTGTGTTGATCCCAAGGTTCAGAGTTTAAAATTAAATGGTCAAGAAGTTGGTGAAGAAACTGTAAACAGATGCTTTATGTATTTTGCTTCAAGTTTTATTAGCATAATTAGGTATTGATACCAAAATCTACTTGAACAGTACTAATACTTAGCTAGCAGCAATAAGATAACTTGAATTGAGGGACTAAACTTGTTGGTTTTCTTTGAGGAGTCCATATGAGGGAGAGGGTCGAGATGAGGCCAGCAGGTGAGGACAACGACTGACTAATAAAAATAATTTATCTACAGAAGCATACTACTCCAATCACTGAATCATTACTTACGAAGACATAAAAAAAAAAAAAAAAAGATTTATTCATATTCCGTTTGAGTGTGGAGTCACTTGAAGCTTAAATTGGGTATTTTCTTTTAAATCACTGGGTGACTTGCAATACAAGACATAATCAAATGTACACTACAGTTCAAAAGTTTGGGGTTGGTAAGAGGATTAAAACGTTTTTGAAATGTCTTTTATGCTCACCAAGACTGCATTTATTTGATGAGAAATACAGTAAGACAGTAATATTGTGAAATATTACAAATTTATCATTCAAATATATTTTAAAATGAAATATTCCTATGATGGCAAATCTGAATTTTCAGCAGCTGTTACTCCAGTCTTTAGTGTCACATGATCCTTCAGAAAGTATTCTAGTATAATGATTTGGCACTCAAGAGACATTTCTTATCAATGTTAAAACAGTTAATATTATAATAACTGATACTTTTTTTCCAGAATTCTTTGGTGACTAAAAAAATTTGAAGGAACAGCATTTATTTGAAGTAGAAATGTTTTTCTAACATTAGAAATATCTTGACTGTCACCTTTAAATAATTCAATGCCTCATTGGTGAATAAAAGTATTAATTCCTTCAAATTTTACTGACCCCAAACTTTTCAACAGTAGTGTATTTCTTTCATTTACATGCAAGAATTTCTTAGTATCTGAAAATGGGTCTGTAATAAATTAATTTAAAATTTCTAAACTTATAACAGAGTTAATGTTTTATTTTTATGTACTTTTTAGTTGTTTTTGTTTTTACCTCCAAAGCCCCTTACAGATGTCCAATTAGTGGATGCTGATGTTTTGACTGCATTGTAGTCTTCCACCATAGCACCATGTTGGTGTTTTGTGTTGATGATCATAATCATGTTGACTGAAAGTTTTAAGCGTGTTAAAGCAGAACTAGAACTAAGTTTCTTCTATCTGTTATCATTTCCTTGTCTTCCTCATGTTCACCTTCATTTTCCTGTTTGTGCCTCTCTCCTCTCATCGTTTTCACCGAAGACCCATGTTGAGCACAGCAGACAAGATGGAGAAGGGTACCCAAGGACTGCCTGGCGACGAAAACAAGGACTCCTTTTTTTCCTCTTCTCCAGTGTCCAGCACACCCTCGTCCACCCAGGCCTCCAAGGACACCAAGCCACGCTCCCTCCGCTTCACCTGGAGCATGAAGACCACTTCCTCCATGGAGCCCAACGAAATGATGAAGGAGATCCGGAAAGTTCTGGACTCCAACAGCTGCGAGTACGAGCTGCGCGAGCGCTTCATGCTCCTCTGCATTTCGGGCAGCCTCGCACATGACGACTTCGTCCAGTGGGAGATGGAGGTGTGCAAGCTACCTCGCCTCTCGCTCAATGGGGTGCGCTTCAAGAGAATCTCCGGAACCTCCATCGCCTTCAAGAACATCGCCTCGAAGATCGCCAACGAGCTAAAACTGTGAGGAAGACTATTGTTTCTGTGGAAAAGATCTTGGGGAACGGCTGGAGCCCATGTGTTGGGAATGAGGAGGCACTGTGAGGAAATCGTTGGCGTGTTTAGCTCTACGACAGCAATGAAGAGTCTTGAGGCTGTAAAGGCAGGTTCATGGGGGACATTTATGCATATAGACATTTTTCAGGGGGTTTATGTTTTGGGGGAGGTGTTCTGTCTTGGTTTGGGTTTTCTGTTCCTTACTCACCCCCCCCCTCGAATACTTTGTGTTGTCATCTTTATATGTGGCGATTTTGTTCAAATGTGGCTTTTCTTGGACCTCACAATTGTCCTCAATTCAGAAAACAGCGAGAAGAGGTTGGTGTTAATAAACTGGAATTGTTTGCCAGTAATTTTTTTTTCTACATACACAAACCAGCTATTGTCATGGAAAGCTGTATCTAACTCTCCCCCCTCCCTTCCCCTTCCCTCATACCCTGGTCCTTATTCCTTGTTGATCCCCAAATACAAACAATGGCAAACCACCACATTACTTGATCTTACTTCCAATTCCAGGTTAGCTGTGATGAGCAGAGATGGAGAGATTAGCAGTTTGACGCTCTGAATGTACAACACGAAATCGAGACCCAAATGGCTAGGCACATTCAGTAGAGCCATCATTTGAGTTTTTATATCCACTCATCATGCTCTGATCGGTTCTGATCTAGCCAATGATATGGTAGCTCATCTGTAACCTCTGCCCCATTTCTACATCACAGTACAGTGTCTTATTTGAGCTGAAATGGAAGTTTTGACTTGAACCCTCGGTGCACTGGAGGTGAATCACCTCTTAGCACTCTATGCCCAGACAATTAGTTTTTTGTTGTTTTTGTTTTTTCCTCTACTGCAGGGGTTATATATCTGAAACTAATTAAGGGCCAATTAAGTAATTATTGGTGGATTGTAGTGTTATTAAGAATTGCTGGTTGGATCCAATCTGCTGCACTGGAATGAGTCTGTGTTTCGTTGCCTTTCTCTGGAGAAGATAATTATTAATATTATATGAATAAACCAGACCTTGGGTGATTTGTGGTCCGTTGTTCATGAACGGTATTCTTTTTATTTTAGTGCATTGTTTAATTTTCCTTTTGTTTCACCTTCAAGCAACATTTGAAATATGCTGTTGTTCTTTAATTGATTTAAAGAGCATGCAATACAAATAAAACTACTTTCTAAAATATTTCCAATTGAGAGCACTTGCAAACTTAGCAAATTAGGTAGCAATTTTTATTTGCTTGTTCAGTATTTGCATTTATAAATCACATTTGCCATTATGACTAACAAGTCATTAATGTACATTCAAATAGATTTCATATTATTAATATCTTAACATGTTTCAATTTAAATGTACATTACTGATCTGTTAAACAATATGTAACAGTTATTATTAATCAGAAAGTGATAAACCGTTTATTTATGATACTCAAATGTCAACGTTTGCCGTTTTTATTTGTTGGAAGAAGAAAAAAAAAGGTTTCTAGAGTCTTCAGGTTTGGGAATGTATCTTAAAGCCAGCATCACATTTAATCCATATTTGAGGAGTTTATTTGCAAAAACAGATTACTTTTTTTTTTTAACTTTAAAAAAAAAAAAAAATTTCTTAAATCATGTTTTTTTATATATTGTGTTATGTGTTAGCTGTATTTTTTTAGTTATGCAATCAAAACAACCCAACTGCAGTTTGATTGATATTAATTAGAATTCAGGATAAACAATTTTTTTATCCTAAATAAAAATAAATGATTTTTGAACATTTAAAAAAAAAAACGGTGTTATCTGTTTTTGTAAATGAACTCTTCTTTTGTTAATAGTTGGGCTGTGTAAATTTGCTTGTCTAGTTCAAATAATTGGGCATTTTGTTGTAAACTGAGCAGAACAATCGAGAGGAAGGAAAGAAAAAATGACACCGGATGCAACCTCCGTCATGTGCACATCTGGGGTAGTTAGTTATTTCCGATTCGCGAACGAATCGTTTTTTCCAATCGGATCACAGATCGGTCCGACCGGTTTTTGAGTAATAGGGGCGAAAGGTAAGTTGCTCCGAATAGCCAAATAGCAGAAATGTTATAAATATGTGCAGAAAATATAAAATATATTTACGACTTGATTATATTAACGTTACACATTTTGCAACACACTACAAAGTTTTACCGTAAGGTACCACGCGTTGACGTAATCACGCGATTACGTAATAGACGAATCATTTGAGCCGGCTCGAAAGAATCGGTTCACAGAAATGAATCAGACTTTCTGTCACTAACTGGGCTCAAACGGTAGGAGGCGCCAACTCTCAGACTGTTGCGCGCTTATGTGACCCTCCCCCAACCCTCAAACGAGGCATTATACCGTCCTCATCCATTATCAGCGAGCTTGTCCATGTCTTCGGTGTAGTTGCGCTTTGGAGGTAAGATTTAAAGATTACACTTTATGAGAGACTTCAAATTCTTTTCTTCATATTTCACCCGTCGATTATAAATACGGTACGACCGTTTGAATGGTCATAATGCAGAAAATGTATTCACTCCGTTGTCCGATAGTCTCTCTCTATACTGAACGTCGTCCTCAAGTGAACCGAGAATATTGAATTGTAATTAATCGCGCTGATTTGTTTTACAATGTGAGATTATTTTCTTAGCCAATGCTATTGGGTTGTAATGTCTAAAGTAAAATATTTTATTTAACGTTACTTCCTCAGTCTGGCGCGAATAGATGCTAGCGTTAGCACGATAGCTTTAGCCGTTGCATGATTGAGATGCAGATAATCTTTTGCTACATTAATCACAGATCTTTTCATCGGATTTTCAACCCAGTTCGAGTTGACTACATAAGATAAAAAAAAGACTGAACCAGAAATTGTCTGGTTTTATACGTTATAGCCTGAAAGTGAAACCATTAAGGCCCTTTCACACGGTATGCGGCAGCCGCGAGTGTCTAGCTCATTCTCAATGGCCGATGGGAGACATGCGGAAAGTAGTGAGGTGTCGTTCGCGAACGAGAAGAGCCGACTCCCGCCGGGGAGAGCCGAATCTTCAACCGGAGCCTTCTATTTTACACCAATTTAGCAATTGTTAATGGTTTGTGTGTTGGTAAGCAATTTTTTTAATTTAGTGTTTTCATAAAAGCCTTATTTTAATGAATATTTTTTTCGTTACCAAAAAAAAAATACACATGCGGCTAATCTCATGGGAGGACAGACTAGGATCATACCATTATATGAAAGCAGGAAGGGGGACACACGCTCCGAAGATAGCGAGTGTAGTGGTACAGGCCAGGTACACAGAGAGACGGGGGAGCCGGATTTAAACGCAAGCGTTGGTTGAAGTTGGAAGACACTGCATTGTTGCAACATCTGTCCCTCTCTCTGAAGAGAGAGTCTTCTCAAAACAGGACAAGAGAGGAGAAATCGCATCAGCACATCCAAGCTGAGGCATCTGATATTTCTGAATGCCATCCTGCACTAAAGACTAAAGTGTTTTATCAAAATTTTTCATTAAAATGTTAAGTAATAGTATCCGTGTAGGAAAAAAGCATAAAAATAAGGATCCAAGCTGAGGCATCTGATATTTCTGAATGCCATCCTGCACTAAAGACTAAAGTGTTTTATCAAAATTTTATTAAAATGTTAAGTAATAGTATCCGTGTAGGAAAAAAGCATAAAAATAAGTCTTTTATGAAAAAACTGAATAAAAAATTGCTTACCAACACACAAACCATTCACAATTGCTAAATTGGGCTAAAATAGAAGGCTGAGTGATACTAAATAAAGAGCCATTTGGGAGCCATAAGAGCCGGCTCTGTTTTTGTAGCATGGTGGCTAAACTATCATTTAGCACAGCCATGTAGTAATTATGTAGTAATTTACAATAAAGCCTATATTTTGCAATAATGACAATACTTAATTATAGTTACATAAACCCCAACCGGATTATGAGGACCCCAATGTGAATCTGACTTCATAATCCAGTAATAATAATACATAGTTTAACTTGTATTCCTATGATTTAAGCATTAATTATTATTAAATACCAGTGGAAAACTATGAATGGCAGCATGGAAGTTGTGGTTTGTTCTGTGTGTTTTACATTTGAAATTCTTGGTAAAGTTGATTTGCATATATTTTGCCTGTTTATTTGACTTTGTTTTTGTTTCTTAGGAACTTCATCGTTCGATACCTTGCGAATCAACCAAAGACTGATCCCAAAACGCACTGCTGTTCTTCCTGTCCAAAATGGTGAAGATATTTGTTGGCAATGTAGCTTCAGCGACCACAGAAGATGAGCTCCGTGCTTTGTTTGAGAAGTACGGCGCCGTGTCCGACTGTGACATTCTGAAAAACTATGGCTTCGTGCACATGGATGAGGAAGAGGCGGCGCAGAAAGCCGTCTCCGCTTTGCACAAGCACGAGGTCAACGGCTCCCGCATCACCGTCGAGTACGCCACCACCAAGGTACGCAATGCCACCAAGATCTACGTGGGCAATGTTCCCGATGGTGTCACCGCTGCCAAAATCAAGGAGCTCTTCCAGCCATTCGGCAAGGTGGTGGAGTGCGATATTGTGAAGAATTATGCATTCGTTCACATGCAGAGGGAAAGCGAGGCTCTGGAGGCCATTTCAAAGCTTAACCACTCCAAATTGGAGGGCCAAAAGGTCTTTGTGTCCCTCTCACGCAGTAACCCATCCAGAAATGACCGAGAGGAGGACTATTTTCCTCCTCCGCCGCATCACTATCCACCTCACCCACACCACCATCCTCACTTTGTCCCCCCACGCCCGCCGCCCCGTGAATACTATCCGCCTCGTGGCCGACTTCCACCCCCTCCTCTCCCACCGCCGCCACCCCGCGCCTACTATGAGCACGATGTGTACGAGAGGAGCCTTCGCCACGACCCGTATGCTGACCCATCCCCACGTTTTTACGATCGGGATCCATACGACCGGCGCATTCCTCCCCCTCAGCGGCCGGTCACGCCTCCTCTCGCCGATCGCTACTACCGTGAGCGCAGTCCTCTTGGCGGTCGCCGCTCTCTCCTGCCTCCGCCTCCCCCTCCACCCTCTTCTGCCGGCTTTTCCCGGGGTTTCGCCCGCAATGGCGCTAGCTCTGCGCCCCCTCCCCCTCCCGCTGCTCCTTCCTCTCACTATCAGCGCTACTCTCTTGGCTCAGGCTTTGATAAGGATGATTATTTGGAGGACAAGTACAGCAATGGCTTCAGCCGTAGCTACTACTAAGCGTTGCTGAGTAATCTAAGAGGGGCTTACCATCAGGGAGTTAGGGGTGATTTTTTTTTTATTTTTATTTTTTTTATTCTGTGATAGTTGTAGCGATTTTAGATATAACGGGTCAATCAGCTAATACTGTACTCATTTAACTAATAAATTTACCTCCGCCCGATGAAGGAACAGCAAATAGGAAGTTAAATACACATGAATTTTTATAGCATGTTCTGTTGTATTATATTTGCCAGGCTTATCGGTTTGAGTTTTCTTTAAAGAATTGTTTTTTGTTTGTTTGTTTTTTTTACTCACACAGTTAATTTTACTCTAGCATGCACTTCAAAAATGCAATAGATCGCTTGAATATATACATTTTTTTTGCATTGATATTTCAACATGCATAGTCTACCCAACAGAAAATTAGTCGTGTTGAATGTTTACCTTTTTGTTTTTTTGGTATTTAAGAATATTCAAGTGTTTCGCACGAGTCAGAGAGTTATTTGGAGGTCATTTGATTTTTGAAAAAATTTTTAAAGGGACTCCATAACCAAAATTTATACTGTTGTGTTTTGTTTTTTTTTTTTTATATAATTTTTTTTTTTTTTTCAAATTGAATCTCATCTCTTGAGAGTGAGACCAGTGGGAAGGAACAGAGAGGAAATGGTTAAAGAGGTTGTTGTGGGCGGAGCTGTGTGCTAACTGACTGATCAACCAATCACATCCTACCGGCTAACCGAGCACATCGCATCTACCAGCCGTTCAACTTTCGGATTCCGCATCCTAGGATAAAGCACCACCGGTCAAAGGAAGCGAACGACTGACCAGCCGCCAACCGCAAAATAAATAAAAAAAAACAACACTGAATCATTAGTGCAATATCTACACTGTATTTCCAAATCTCGTTGTATTAGACAAACAGCTGATTTGCCGACTCCGCAGACTCTGAGAAAGTTTTTAAAGATTATAAAGACTTATTTTGACATCACATTATAATGGACGTGCTTGTGATTGAAAATATTACTGAATACTCAACATTGTTTCCTGTCCTACTTGTACTACTGCTGTTTGCCTATTGTTAGCGTACACTTCTGTTTAAAATGTACGTTTGTAAAAAGCCTGTTTCTCGACTGTTTATCCGAAACCGCTCTCTTTATCATATTGTCCACTCGAGCAGGTTCGAAACTTATGCTTGTTTTGATTTAAACCTATGAAAACAGATTCTTGTTCTACCAGTCGCTGTCATCTTGCCGCCTGAATAAAAATTCGACTGACTCAGACGCAACGTTTTCATGTCACTCGTTTTTAATTGAGTCTCTTTAATTTCTACCTCATGTCTCACTCGCTCACGTTATCATTCGTATAATAGAAATGTCCTTTGACTTGATCACTCATGTGTAAAGTGCCAAATAGATTCGTATAAAAACTGCACTTTCCGCTTGAACCCTTCATATAAAGGCCAAAGGCATTCAATTTAAACCTCAGTAAATTAAAGTCACTTAATCTTCTTTTTGTTCCACGATGACCCCTGGCCAAGATTAATGAATGTATGATGCTCTGTTTCGAATTACTGTAACAGCTTGGTGTGGCTCATCAGGATGGGTGAGTTAAAAGTGAAGGTAAGTAGCATTTCAAGCTGGATTGTTAGGACTTTTGTTCTTGTCACGTTGCACGTTATTGTATGTGTCTGTGTGCTAGTAGAGCCTGTTTGACTTGCTTTAGTTTTTTCACTGGTGATATTATTAGAACAGTCACATACTGTTCCTGAAACGCTTCATCCTGATGTGGATCAGTGCAGTTGTTTCATGATGTCCGTCAAGTGTTTCTAAAGTGACTGACCTCTTCTCCTCCCAGCCATTCAGTAGAGCTGTACTGACATAAGTCTGTACTCCATAAACTACTCCTTAACGTCAAACTATACCTTTTATGTTTCTTCCCTTTCTTGTGCTACATGCCTCATTTGAAGTACTCCAGTCACCAGCTTATGACTTCTCGTACACGTGTTTCTAATGGGAATGATGAGTTTACTTTGAGATTTAGTGAATATAAGCAACTTTTTAAATTCCTTAGTTTCATTGGCTGACTTTTGCTTAGCATTTCTAATGATCGTTTAAAGGACAAGGTGAATTCAAAATAAGTAATACCAAAATGTCATGTCATTTCAAGATTTTAGGGTAGTGAAAGTAAAATCTAATCATAAGTACAAGATAACAGAAATATGGACTCATATATGTAGACATTAAGATATTTGTCAGGAAACCGTGTCATTTGTGTGCTTTGTCTCTGTGATTTAATATTAGTATATATAGGTACTTATTATTATTATTATTATTATTGTTTTTTTTTTTTTACTTGGTCACATAATGGATTTGAAGTACATTTAAAATTATTGCATTTCTAAATGTTTGTTGTACATCTCAATGTTTGTCTCCGTCATTATAATATTTTAGTTATGTAAAGACAATATTTTTATTGAAATTGTCCTTGTTCCTTCAGTTTTTTCCAAACTGTTATGCTGTAAAATAAAATATAACCATTGACTAATGTAGAATTGCTGCACTGATCACCGTCCTTTTAACATAAGTGCAGTAGGTCTGTATATAAATTACTAACTTCTAAATAATCTTGAGTTCAAATTATTCAGAGATTTAGCATTTAACTGCTAGTGATTTGCAAGGCAATAACCATCTATTTATAACTGAAAAACAGTTATTATTATCCACTAATCTGAATATTGTGGTGCAAGGCCGTCCTACAGGTGCAATGAGGTAAAAAAAAAAATATATTTTATTAAATTGTTAGTTTTTTTTCCTAGACATTTATTGCACACATGGGTACTGTTTTCTGAGAATGACCCATATAAGAATGAACATAAGATTATTTGATTTCAGTCTGATAAAGAATTTCATACAGACAGTAGTCAGTGAAGCCTTGTGTTTGAGTAGGATATCCTGTGACAGCAGATCAAATGTGCAGTTGTGGGAGGTTAGGACTTGTTTATCTGGGCCCGTATTCACAAAACATTTTATCTTACCACTAAGAGTTCTCCTAAATGGCAGTAAAAGTTTTTAGCTAAGAGTTTTCTCTTAAAACCTATTCACAAAGCTGCTGAGACAAACTTTTACTAAGGAATAGAGAGAAATCTAAAAGGGGTCATCGGATGCGACATGCACTTTTACAAGTTGTTTGAACTGAAATGTGTGTTGGCAGTGTGTGTACACACAACCACCCTATAATGATAAAAATCCACCCAGTGTTTTTTTTGTTATCTGATTAAATGTTTTCCCCTTTCTCAAATCGAGCCGATCTCAGATGCCTGTCTGTATGATGTCACACAGACAGGCCCCTCCCATGATAGTTTGATTGACAGTAGCGTTTCAGCACAGACTGGACTGGTGTCTTACCTTAGACCCACCCTGTGCGCCATTGTTTCACCGTTGGAGCAGATGTAGATAAGAATGACTCCTAACAAGTGACTGAGGTGTTCTGTTGTTGGATGTAATAATGAACATAGCAGTCGTCATTAACTCCCGACATCTGAGCCGCTGAAGACGCAGAGGATTACATTGTTTCTGAAGGGAATGCGCCCCCGATCTACATAAATGCGTCTTACGTTTGTGCGAATCATTCATGATCCTGCCTCATCTACAGAAGAAGTGAGTATAATGTTTTGTAATGAATCTTTGCAAATCGCCTATCTTATTGTGTTAATTAGCAAGTTTCACAATGAATGCGGCCAAAGTAAACAGTAAACGGTGTCTAAAAGCAGCTTGGAAGAGAGGGGCGGGGTCAGCAGAGCTCATTAACATTTAAAGGAAAATGCTACAAAAAACGGCTTGATCTGAAAAGGTGTTTTTTTTTTGTTTTTTTTTACACTACCATTGAGAAACTTAAACCAAACTATGTTACAGACTTTTCATTAGGACCCTAAAGAATCATATCAACTTGTGGAAAATGGGCATCCTATGACCCCTTTAAGCTAAGAATAAGGGCGGGGTTGACCTCGTTGCTATGGATGCTGTCAGCCTATGCACACAGTGATTGGCTGATAGTCTGTCAGAGATTTATTCATAGAAATATTGTAGAGCGCAATATTATGTTGCCATATTCAAATAAAGGTTTAAAAATAAAAATGATGATTGCCACATTCAAATAAAGATTTTAAAATGCAGACTAAATGTCTCTAATTAAACAAGTATATGATCAGTTAATTGTCAGTCTCTTACATGTGCTGCTTGTAAACTATTAGCGGATATGCATATAAACAGCCTTTTAATTAACAGAGTAGAATAATCATGACCGATAGTAAGACATGCAAACATCAAAACAAAACAAAAAAACTGAACACAAGAACAGCTGTTACTTCTTGCCCAACTGGTTAAAGCAGCACTATGTAACTTTTTCTGTTCATTTCAAATTCATCAATCTGCAAAAAAAATATATAATGAGCGAGTACATCATGAATTCATCTTCTTCCAAACCGCGCTTTTGTCTTATTCCGAATCACTACTGTACACTTATAATAGTACTTATATTTGGACTATTGTAGCCTGGTCGGGTCGTCACCGCTGCGGAGTAACACATACCTGCGTGAATCGCCATAGACATAAACTTAGAGAAGTAGCTCCGGTTGGAATGTTCTTCCGCGGGATGTGTGCGGTTCTGTTTATTAACCACTAGAGCGCCAAAAGTTACATAGTGCTGCTTTAATGAAAACAACGATATAATCAAAGTAGTTTAGGGTAGTTAGGGTAACCTCCAAACCAAAGGCCATACCTTTTTTAAAAGGTCATTATCATCAAATGTTTCTAAAATGTTTACATTCCAAGGCAGATTGCCGGCAACAGCCATTTTAGGATAGTTTGTGGCTTGGTCTTAGTGACTTAGGAGTCCTCTTCACTACTCCTAACGTTTCACAGATTTAGGAGCTAACGTTAGTTTTAGTGCTAAAACGCTTTGTGAAATACTCTTAGAGCAATAAATTTAGGACTGACACGCCCATTATGTTTTAAGATTTTCTCCTAAATCGGCGAGTTATGAGCTACTTTTAGCCTTAAGATGTTTTGTGAATACGGGCCCTGGTCTATTAGTACACAGAAGAGCACTATAAGAAGTTCATAGATTCAGAACTATAACCTTCAAAGAACAACAAAGTTATCCAAAAGAAATGCACAATCTCTAGGGGTCTAATGGGGCATTTTCTCACCTTTAGACAGTTTTTCCATAATCGGTGCTGTATATAATAAACCAAACTATGTTACAGACTTTTCATTAGGACCCTAAAGAATCATATCAACTTGTGGAAAATGGGCATCCTATGACCCCTTTAAGCTAAGAATAAGGGCGGGGTTGACCTCGTTGCTATGGATGCTGTCAGCCTATGCACACAGTGATTGGCTGATAGTCTGTCAGAGATTTATTCATAGAAATATTGTAGAGCGCAATATTATGTTGCCATATTCAAATAAAGGTTTAAAAATAAAAATGATGATTGCCACATTCAAATAAAGATTTTAAAATGCAGACTAAATGTCTCTAATTAAACAAGTATATGATCAGTTAATTGTCAGTCTCTTACATGTGCTGCTTGTAAACTATTAGCGGATATGCATATAAACAGCCTTTTAATTAACAGAGTAGAATAATCATGACCGATAGTAAGACATGCAAACATCAAAACAAAACAAAAAAACTGAACACAAGAACAGCTGTTACTTCTTGCCCAACTGGTTAAAGCAGCACTATGTAACTTTTTCTGTTCATTTCAAATTCATCAATCTGCAAAAAAAATATATAATGAGCGAGTACATCATGAATTCATCTTCTTCCAAACCGCGCTTTTGTCTTATTCCGAATCACTACTGTACACTTATAATAGTACTTATATTTGGACTATTGTAGCCTGGTCGGGTCGTCACCGCTGCGGAGTAACACATACCTGCGTGAATCGCCATAGACATAAACTTAGAGAAGTAGCTCCGGTTGGAATGTTCTTCCGCGGGATGTGTGCGGTTCTGTTTATTAACCACTAGAGCGCCAAAAGTTACATAGTGCTGCTTTAATGAAAACAACGATATAATCAAAGTAGTTTAGGGTAGTTAGGGTAACCTCCAAACCAAAGGCCATACCTTTTTTAAAAGGTCATTATCATCAAATGTTTCTAAAATGTTTACATTCCAAGGCAGATTGCCGGCAACAGCCATTTTAGGATAGTTTGTGGCTTGGTCTTAGTGACTTAGGAGTCCTCTTCACTACTCCTAACGTTTCACAGATTTAGGAGCTAACGTTAGTTTTAGTGCTAAAACGCTTTGTGAAATACTCTTAGAGCAATAAATTTAGGACTGACACGCCCATTATGTTTTAAGATTTTCTCCTAAATCGGCGAGTTATGAGCTACTTTTAGCCTTAAGATGTTTTGTGAATACGGGCCCTGGTCTATTAGTACACAGAAGAGCACTATAAGAAGTTCATAGATTCAGAACTATAACCTTCAAAGAACAACAAAGTTATCCAAAAGAAATGCACAATCTCTAGGGGTCTAATGGGGCATTTTCTCACCTTTAGACAGTTTTTCCATAATCGGTGCTGTATATAATATGTGACCCTGGAGCACGAAACCAGTCTTAAGTCACTGGGGTATATTTGTAGCAATAGCCAAAAATACATTGTATGGGTCAAAATTATTGATTTTTCTTTTATGCCAAAAATCATTAAGATATTAAGTAAAGCTCATGTTCCATTAAGATGTTTTGTAAATTTCCTACTGTAATATGCATTGCTAAGAACTTCATCTGGACAACTTTAAAGGCCATTTTCTCAGTATTTTGATTTTTTTTTTTTTGCACCTTCAGATTCCAGATTTTCAAATAGTTGTATCTCGGACAAATATTGTCCTATCATAACAAACCATACATCAATGAAAAGCTTATTTATTAAGATTTCAGATGATGTATAAATCTCAATTTCGAAAAATTTACCCTTGACTGGTTTTGTGGTCCAAGGTCACATATGAGAATGCAATAAATACGATGTATAGTATCTTACAATGGAAATAACTTTGATCAAGTGTTTCATATTTTGCTTTAATGCTCATTTCCATGTATGTGCTTCTCATATCCGTGAATAAAGGCAACATGCTGGTTATTTAATCATTTTCCTGTGTCGTGGATTTGTTTACCTCATTGCCCAGCTATTTCCCGCAATTCTGCAATCGTCCCTACCCCCATTTTCCCCGAACACACACACAATACAAGAGTAACTGACCATTACTGATGGTAATAATAACTGACCATTTAAATGACCACAGCGTCAATAAAAGCGCCCTCCGCTGCCCGAAAAGAAATCCTGCGTCCATCATCTCATTTCAGGAAAGCGGATGTACGGCGTCACGTGCTGTAAGAGCACGCGGATCCTGTCGCAATTTGGCGCGCTTTGTGTTTGAATTTGCACAGCGTTCTGACTCTCCAGTCAGCTCTTTTACGTGCGTGAGTATAAACTTTAACTTAAAACAAAGTTACTAGTACACGTAGTAATACGCAAACATTCATTGCTCACATTTCTAAGATTCTGATTATATAACTTTTATGTATGCATGATTATCATTATTTAATATAAAGCGGCTAATGGAGCTGTAGGTCTTCTAGTAATATCTCCATTAATTCTTAAGATTAAGTGGTGAGCTATTAACCTTAATGACTTTAAGCATAGTTGGTCTTTAGTTAGCCAATTTAAACTTAAATTCATTAGCAAGCCAAAGAGACAAGGTCAGGAAAATAATAAATAACTCTACCTTCTCAGAATTTACAAACCACAAGCTACAAGTTATTGATCTTGTTGTGTACAATTCATCTTTGTATATTTTTTACCTCATAATTTCCAATAAAATGTTATAATCTTTTAGAGGAGCAACAGACTTCTCATTTAGTCATCTTAAACTGTTCTTTTCTTGCAGTTCAACCAGTGGATAGAACCAAGAACCCATCCTGCATTTGATCTTTTTCAATAATTTATGTCCCTCGAATACACAATACAGAAGAAAAAAAGAGCTGTCATTACTTTCTATATCGTGATTTTAACCAAAGAATTTAAAAAAGTGGCAGAATTTCTTTAAAAAACCATATTTTTATGTTTTTTCGGGGCTGAATTGTTTGTAGTGTTATAAAAATGATAGTACCATCAGTTACGTTGATGTCAGGAGTACAAATGCCACTTTTGGGTTTGGGCACATACAAGCTCCAGGACCATGAGCAGCTGAATAAAGCTGTCACTTCTGCACTTCAGGCTGGATACAGAGCCTTTGACACAGGTGCAGTTTATGGAAATGAGGCACATCTAGGGCAAGTCCTCAAAGAGCTGCTGCCCAAGTATGGCCTAAGCCGTGAAGATGTGTTCATTATCAGCAAGCTTTCCCCATTAGACCATGGGCCGAGGGCAAAGGAAGGCTGCCTGAGGAGTCTGGAGCAACTAGACTGTGAATACATCGACCTCTATCTAGTGCACTGGCCTGGGGTGGAGGGTCTTGACCCAGGGGATTCTCGTCATTCAGAGTATCGAGCGCAAAGCTGGGCGGCCCTAGAGAAGTTCTACGCCAGCGGGCGATTCAAGGCCATAGGGGTTTCAAACTACACTGCAAAGCACATTATGGAGCTGCTCATGAGTTGCCGCATCCCCCCAGCGGTTCTTCAGATTGAGTGTCAACCGAAGCTGATCCAGAGGGAACTGAGGGAATTATGTATGGAGACAGGCATTCATTTCCAAGCCTACTCTTCGCTGGGTAAAGGAGCTCTCCTGAGGGAGCCCGAGGTACTGGATATAGTGAGGAGCTGTGGTCGGACCCCTGCCCAGGTTCTCCTGAGGTGGGCTGTGCAGCAAGGCATCTCAGTTCTGCCTCGGTCCTCGCAGCCGTGCAGAGTGCAGGAGAATGCACAGGTGTTTGACTTCCAGCTAAGTGAGATGGATATAATGAGGCTGGATGCCTTAAACTGTGGAACAAGGTTTTGTAAACGAGACTCTAGCAAAATAGCTTAAGCCTGAACATATGACAATTTCTTTACTGATCCCAAGGCATAATAAATGTAAAATCCAGCAAATTAAATTATCATTGTGAATAGAGTCAATGATGTGATGCTTGCTTTAGTAGTAAAATAAATAAAAATGCAATTTTTACATGCAATGACTTGAATACACCATTGATGAGCATGTGATTTATGTTTGTTTGTTTTTTTCAATTAAAAGTCAAAAATATGGTCATACGATGTATTTTTATGCATAGTTAACCTTTTTTTGTGCATGGTTAATTTAGGTTGTATAAGGTGGTGACCCACCAAAAATTTATATTTGAATTAATGACAGAAAAAAATGATTAATACAAAGATTTGCCTGTCTTCTTTATCATGGACACTTTGACCAAATAACATAACACTAAATTCAGCCAGAAAATCTTTTATTTTGAAAAAATGATAGAAAAAAGATAAAAACGTGTGATTGTTTTAAAAAGTATTTAAACAGTTCATCCATTACTCAATCTATGGGAACGAGTATAAATATGTACAAGGAGCTTGAAACAGGAATGAAAGTATCATCAAGGCTGTACAGAAACAGAACTTGTGTTGTTCATCTGCACATACGTTTGGCAGAAATTAAATGTTGTTTTACATACAAGACCAGCAGATGGAATATAAAAAGAAAAAATCCAATAGAGACTACAGACAACTCTACCAAAAGATAAAAACGTGTGATTGTTTTAAAAAGTATTTAAACAGTTCATCCATTACTCAATCTATGGGAACGAGTATAAATATGTACAAGGAGCTTGAAACAGGAATGAAAGTATCATCAAGGCTGATAGTACAGAAACAGAACTTGTGTTGTTCATCTGCACATACGTTTGGCAGAAATTAAATGTTGTTTTACATACAAGACCAGCAGATGGAATATAAAAAGAAAAAATCCAATAGAGACTACAGACAACTCTACAATCAAGAAATATGTACATGAAAGGCAGTGAGGAATTGTTTTCCTGGTGACATATCCAAGTATAGTCGGCATAAAAGAGATGGCAGAACAATTGATTTCATCCAATCTTACTAGTTATTCACCACAACAGTTTGGCATTAAAAAACAAACCTGAGATGCAGCAACAAATGAACTGAAATAACTTTACCCGTATTATTGTTACCGTCACTAACCTGTACTTCACACAACTGACTTTATCCAGTGTCACAGTCCTTGAATTCTATTTACATTTTGCAAGCAACCGCTCCAGCCTTTATACAACAAAACGCACATCTATATATCCATCTATAAAATACATCATAGAACACATTTCTTTGTCAAATATGAATTTAATACATATCAATAAATAGTTTTTAAATAGAGTTTCATTTTTTGAATCAGTATATAGAAAGATTGTCCAATGAACTAATATTTTAGAAGAGATTGTCCCTCTTAAGATTGTCAAATTGAATTAACACTGACAATTCCTTTATATAAACCTACGTTATTGCAGAGGTTATACCATTCTCTCAGATTGGTTTTGTACTAGCTTGAGCACATTGATTGACAAAAAGGCCATGATGGTGATCAGACCAGCCTTCATCTGAGTGCAGCTCTCTGGTAACTGTTCTTATGCTGTTTAAAGCATGGCTACTTCATTCTCTGCCCTCCTCTTCTTTGGAACTCCAGAGGAACGAGAACCATCCTCGGTAGGTCTGTTTCTGGCTGTTCGCTCTTTTGACCTCCTAGGAACAACGAAACGACTTAATACTAAGTTTAAAGTCTATTAAATAGAAATGCATTCATTGTACCATATGGCAAGCTCACCCCTTTGTCGAGCCATGTGTCAAATTCATCGCTCATTCTCCTCAGCTGTCGCCCGTACTTCTTTGCTTTCCACAGAGCAGCAGGAGCAGACTGAGAACGACCTCTGAATGGAAGTCCATCTCCCGTTCCTCCGTTCTCCTCCACCAATGCTCCATCCTGGGGCTCTGCTTCCTGCCAGCGGCTCACCGTATACACCTGAGACTCCGAATAGAGCCGCACACGCCCTGCAAAAGCACGTCGTCACATGGTAACAGAAACATTCGTTAAATCTAGGTCAATCTATAATGAATATCCTGAAACTCTGACCTGTTTAATGGCCAGTGTGGTTCTCTGAAGTTCTCACCTTGAGGAGAAATGTTTGGCAAGGTTTGATCCTGATGTTGTCCTTGGTTTTTGATTGTCTCTTCTCTTCCTTTCTTTTTGTCATTCCAGGTGCTGGAATCATCTTGATGGTCATGCAGTGTGTTATCCATTGTAAGAGCTGGTGATAAGAGAATAGTATGATATTAATATTGCAATTTAAAGGGGATAAAACAATTCATGATCTAATATTATTTGGTATTAAATGATCAACTTTAATATTTTAGAAGAGATTGTCCCTCTTAAGATTGTCAAATTGAATTAACACTGACAATTCCTTTATATAAACCTACGTTATTGCAGAGGTTATACCATTCTCTCAGATTGGTTTTGTACTAGCTTGAGCACATTGATTGACAAAAAGGCCATGATGGTGATCAGACCAGCCTTCATCTGAGTGCAGCTCTCTGGTAACTGTTCTTATGCTGTTTAAAGCATGGCTACTTCATTCTCTGCCCTCCTCTTCTTTGGAACTCCAGAGGAACGAGAACCATCCTCGGTAGGTCTGTTTCTGGCTGTTCGCTCTTTTGACCTCCTAAGAACAACCAAACGACTTAATACTAAGTTTAAAGTCTATTAAATAGAAATGCATTCAGTGTACCATATGGCAAGCTCACCCCTTTGTCGAGCCATGTGTCAAATTCATCGCTCATTCTCCTCAGCTGTCGCCCGTACTTCTTTGCTTTCCACAGAGCAGCAGGAGCAGACTGAGAACGACCTCTGAATGGAAGTCCATCTCCCGTTCCTCCGTTCTCCTCCACCAATGCTCCATCCTGGGGCTCTGCTTCCTGCCAGCGGCTCACCGTATACACCTGAGACTCCGAATAGAGCCGCACACGCCCTGCAAAAGCACGTCGTCACATGGTAACAGAAACATTCGTTAAATCTAGGTCAATCTATAATGAATATCCTGAAACTCTGACCTGTTTAATGGCCAGTGTGGTTCTCTGAAGTTCTCACCTTGAGGAGAAATGTTTGGCAAGGTTTGATCCTGATGTTGTCCTTGGTTTTTGATTGTCTCTTCTCTTCCTTTCTTTTTGTCATTCCAGGTGCTGGAATCATCTTGATGGTCATGCAGTGTGTTATCCATTGTAAGAGCTGGTGATAAGAGAATAGTATGATATTAATATTGCAATTTAAAGGGGATAAAACAATTCATGATCTAATATTATTTGGTATTAAATGATCAACTTTGACTGTTAGATGAATTTCTTCAAATTGAGACTAGCATTCGCTGGTTTTCCTAAATACATACCTGTGGATCTGGACGAATTCCAGGACAATAGATATGAATGTGCTCGTCTCAGTTGTCAGTGGCACTAGATGCTATTCCTTCTTATCTCCAGTACGCTTAAGAGTTGCTTCTCCAGTTCTCAACATATATTGATTGCCTCATGGCATGTGACACACCCAAACAACAACAATAGCTATAATTGCTACTTTATATAAGTTTCATATGTCCAAGGTTGAGTCGTGCTCATCTGAAAACGTCGTCGGCCAAAAATAATGGAAAAAATATCCCGTTTTTCGTGACATTTAGTCGAAATGATTGTCTTCTCGCCGCAAGCAGTAGAGTGGCAAATTTCCAGTCCGGTTGTTGTTATCACTACAGTGTGTATGATCTCATTTCGGCTCGGATATTGTTGTTCGTGGTCGTTTACAGTAGCTCTCCGCTCTCGGCCAATCAGGGCGCTTTCGGCTTCTTCGATCAGCCAATCGCAGCCCGCTGCTAGGGTGTTTTGGGCGCTCTCTGATGTAACGTCACTGTTGCGATAGGGTTTCGCGAGCCTTTACTGTCCCGTGACTTGTTTACCTCATCCGGGCCCCAGTCTCGCGGAAGAGGACGCAGCCGCCGCCGCCGCCGCCGCCGCCGCGAGAGAATTTGCAAAAGAAACACTTCGTTTAACTTTGTTTGCTTTGTGTAGCTCAAAACAGTGCAATTTAGTTGGTGTTGCTATCCGTGTAATAACATCAGTCTTTGTACAGAGAGTATACGCTTTGTTCAGTTATAATTTAAATTAATTTATTATGGAGAGTAGCCTACTTATTATTGGTCTTTACCCTGAATGATTTGCTGTTTATTATACTGACTTAAGTGAAAATTATTTAACACTTGTATTCATTTATATGTTTTTGGTGTAATTTCTGTTCAAGAATTGTGGTCACAATGTGCACTTTCTCCGTTTGAACTGTAGATGGCAGAAGAGATCTTTGTTGAGTCAACAGAAGGAGTCGGTTATTTCTTTGCTTATGACTCATGCCTGCAGAACACAGAAATATATAGGTTTATAGGACCCATTACTGTGTATTTTACTGCATATGTTAAATATCTGATATTTTTACTAAGCATATAACGCTGTAGAATGTCCGTGTCTGTTGTACATGCAGGTCAATTTCTTTTTGTAGCTATATTAAGACATTCTTGCAGGAACAAAATTGAGAAATGGTTGCTTGATAAATATCATGTTATTCCTGTCAAAGACATATAACGTGAAGGCTCACTTTTTGTGAGATGGATATTCACATTTGATTTAGCAGTTTTAGTTCTCTGTCATGTTTTTCCCAATGTGAATGACTGACAGAGTATGGCTCTTTTAAAACACACACACACAGATGTGCACATCCAAATGAGCATTCTGCAGGTGTTTTAGTGAAATTTATGTAAATACATAAAAATGGGTAAAAACAATATATAATGCAGCCAATTTGCCAACTGAATTTGTGAATACAACCTTGCATTGAATTTGAAAAAGATAGATAATGTTTTTGCAGCTGGCAAAAGATGTAGATAGCGAACATTGACAGCATCCTGGATGGACACATGTTTGAGGTCCTTGCAGAGTAATAAAAATGAAAGGTCCTACTACTGTTTATTATATTGTTAATACTGTTATTATCATTTTTGTGTTTTCATTGCAGTGACAGTGCTGCAATAAAAAATAATAAAACACTATTTTAAACCAGATATGCTGGGCTTAGCTGGTTTGAGATGGTCTCCAAGCCTGGCCAAGCTGGTCCAGGGATGGCTTAAAAGTTTAAAAGTGCCAACACCCTATAAAATCAGCCAACCAGGACAATGAGAAACCAGCTAAGACAAGTGAACCAGTTTAGGCTTTTTTTTTCTCAGCATGGGAATTTAATTCCACAGCCACACTGTAAAAAAAATTCCGTAAAATTTACGGTAAAACACCGGCAGCTGTGGTTACCGGAATTTTACCGTAAAAAATACGGTAGCAACGTTTTAGGTTTTAACTTAAATTTACAGTTAAATACCGTAATTTCATTAACTGATATAATGTTAATATACCAACCTACTGAAGTACTGAAATCTGTTTTGTACCTTTGTAATACACTGATAACCACCAAATGCAGGAGGTGATGAGAAAGTCACATGATGAACCAAAGCACATCTCAAGCAGCTTTTAAATAATAACTTATTTAGAAGGTGCACAGTGTCATTCACACAAACACTAAACACCATCATGGTAACACACATGACACTGAAATAATGCAATAAACATTCATTTAACAACATTAGGTGTAACACACAACCCTAATATACAAAACTGATAAGAAAAAACTAAGAAGGAACATAGTTATTTCAACAAAACAACATCAAATTTGAAATGTAACGCAGGGAATTCTGGGAATGTCAATTTACGGTTATTCACTGTAAATTATACAGTATTTTTCACTTCCAAAAACGGTATACTACCGTAAAATTTATATCCAATACATGTAATGTCCAATACAGTTTTTCACCGTATATAGTAGGGGAATTTACCGTTAACCATTTAACAGGTTTTTACTGCAGCATTTTTACAGTCTTTTACCGTTAAATTCACGGTCATTTTTTACAGTGCAGAGACTTTGCCTTCAGGTAATTTTCCTTAATGTAAAAACAGAGAAGTGCAGAAATGGAGTTCTTCAAATCACCCTCTTTATTCTTCAACCTATAAAGGAAGATATGTTTATATTCAAACATTCTGAATTGGGACGGGGGGGAAAAACTGAAGAAAATGTACTAGATGCTAACTTTTTATTACATACAAGTGATTCAATTTTTGATTCTTATTGCTGACAAGTGATTCAATAAAACTGCTGCTCACCTTTGGACCACTACAGTTATTGTTTGCAAGGTGTCATTATGGAATCAGTGCCACCAGTAGATCGAGGGGTCAGAGGGTACAACGTTGAGGGTACAAAATTAATTTAGCCCTTCTAATGTGCACGTGTTTTTACACTCTAGCCAACGTAATTAGCAGTTCTAATATGTCTATGCTACATCAGTGCCAATTTGATGAATTGTCGTCCAGTGTTGGCTCGCTCTGCCTGCTAGCGACACTCCGGCAAACCTGCACGCGTTGTAGCAAAATGTCCCCTCCCCTCTTTCTGCAGTCCACGCTGCTTTTCGCACCCTGTCTCGGACTTCTGCACAATCCCATTCGCTGAAAAAAGAAACTGTTCATTTCCATATGACCTTTTCCAGCGTACCCCGCCCGTCTCCTCTCCTCCATCCGCATGGCGAGGCTGATGTTGATGCTGATGCGAGCGTATAGTTAGCATCTTCTCATTCACTCCCTCTGGCTCCACACGTCCATGTGCGGCTCTGATCATTCTCCTAATACGTTCCCCTTTCTCTTTACCCTCCACTGTATAATATAATCTCCGCTTTTTATACAAAGCCTATTTTTTTTCCAGCACTCTCTTTTTCCCCCTAAAATCCCATTGCTGGAAGCAGGCGTATTATTTTAGGCATTTTTCTAGTGTTTGGAATTATGTGAATGGGCTGTAGCTGGTGTTACTAAACATCTGGAAGATCTTTCGTCAGTTACTTTTTTACTCGAATTCGGTTTTAAATCACGTCTCGTCTTGAACGTAAAACGCTCTTGTGTCTCGCCGCGAGATACAGTTTCTTAAATCAGCCTGGCCTCGAGTCTACAACTTGATTGGATTGTGCGTGTTTATGTTAGTTGTTTTCATTGTCTGAACTGTCAAATGAAGAACGCCACCGCTGTACAGCTCGCGCGCATCACCGCTGCTCCATGGAGACTTGAGCCGCGCGCACCGAGCGCATTCACTGTGGATTAAACCGAACTACAGAAGAGCAAGTCAACAGCGAGTGTTGGAGTCCACCGGAATACACACACCATCTTTGTAAGTACAACGAATTTACTCACCACACCACATTATAATGTAACGAATACAGTATTATTCATTGTTACCAACCAGTCGCGAGGTTTAATATACACACATCTAGCGAATCAATTGCAACAAATGAGTAACAGACCGCAGCCTCCATGTTTTCAGGTTACTGACGATTCTATGAAAAGAAACTATCACGTTCAGACATCCCAGATTTATTAAAGATTATATAGACATTCCTCATTTAAACATGCATCTTTTTTTTTCAGGTGCAAAGTTGCTTGACACATTTCTCTCAGCCTATACAGGAGCTACTCAACAAAATGAACCTCTGTTAACGTACGTCTGTCTGTCAGAGCAGGTAAGATTGACTTTACTCATGTACTAAAACGGTTCAATTGAGTTACTATTCTGTACGCATATAGCTACAATTCCTTCTTAAATGTTTCGCTCTGGCCTCGCATAACTAGTAGTAAGCGCCACATAGTTTTCATACTGGCTGTGAATACTTAGCAGGCACAGTTCTCATGGAAACGCTCTCCTACTCTCACTACAGAGGCAGCCCACCTGTTTCAGATAAACATAGAATGTGATACCAGTATGCTGTGGTATGAAGGGAAACCCTCAGCTTCCAGATGCACTGACTTCAGATCAAAAACTATGCCTATGGGGAGCTTCTTCATTTAAAAAAAAAAAAAAAAACGCTGCTGTGCCTGTCAAAGAACCATCCTTACTTATGCTTTCTCAAAATTATATCTGTTTTATGCGGCCAGTGTAATGCAGATGTCTTGAAATGTGCATTCTTACGGGGGTGGGTGCATTCTGCAGTTTCATTTACGGTATCCTTGTTCAGCCTGGTGAACAAGCTCCTTCTGTTTTTCCTCAATACAGAATAATCCCCAGTCTCAAGGAGAAGAGTTTACAGACAGAGTTACCCACTTAAGTTTCGACTTAAACTCTCTGTTTCTGACATAGTCTGACAAGAACGCCATTGCATATCAAGGACATTTGAATTGAAGTAAAGAAGCCTTGACTTCTAAAGGAAAGCTGTGTGTGGAGAATAACATGTGTGAGGACTTGCTGCCAGTTGCGTGGGTGCAGCAGGCAGATGAGAGCTATGGACATATGGTAAAAAGTTCATCTGGATGACTGATGTGTTGTTGGGACGTGTGTGATACAGAGCTCAGCGGACTGAGAATAGACACTTTTGCCAGCATTTTCTAATTAAAACTGCACACATGTTCTTAAAAAGGAGCCAGGCATCTCAAACATTCAGAGTAAGGTAATGTCCGGGCCATGGTAAAGAGATAAAAATTGAAAAAAATGAATATTCGGCAGGTATTTGTGAAGTTAATTGCAAGTTAATTAACTCACAATGTGAACTTAAGTTTCTGGAACCTGTTTAAAAATGTTTTGTTGTGAATATTTAGTCTAGACTAAAAAAAAAACATTGCCAAACGCAAATAATAAACTGCAGCAATATATATAATCTTGCATGATTAGGATAGCAAAATTAATGTACTTTAGGAAGGAGAAAATGCTTCCCATATTTTTTTTTGATGATCTCAAAGCTGAG